AAAACAGGTTGCATGTGAATGTTCACAACAGCACCTACCACATTAGTCAAAATGTAGACATAACCCCAAAGCCCATCAACTGGTGAATGGATAAACAAATTGTAGTATTAATCTATCCATTCATGGAATACTATTCAGCAATAAAATCAGTTCTGACACATTTAACAACATGGGTGAACCCCCAAAACATCATGCTAAGTGAAAGACACCAGAAATCTCCAGAAAAGGCTCATCCAAAAAGGCAGGAAACAGATCAGTGGTTTCCTAGGGCTGGGGTGGGAGCAAGGATTGATTGCTAACACGGACAAATGAGTTTTTTGGGGTGATGGAAATGCTGCTAAACTAGAGTGTGGTGGTAGTTGTGTAACACTAACAATTTGCTTAAAAAAAATCATTGACTTGCATCCTTATATGCGGTGAACTTTATGGTCTGTACATTATACCTCAGTGAGCCAGTTTGAAAAACACACTTTAGTCGGTTTCTGGGCTCCTGCGGCAACTTGTAGCGAAAGTTTTGAGAGCACCCACATGGGCCAGACATTGTTCTTAGTGCTAAACATTATCAAACTACCCTTTCTTCCACCAGCCTGATGGGTAGGTTGCATTATCCCTATTTCTCAGAAGAGGAAAGAGCACAGAGATGTTAGGTAACTTGCCCAAGGTCAGAAACACAGTGGCAAGCAGAGCTAAGATGTGAACCCAGGCAGTCAGCTGCTAGGGTTCAGTGCTTAATCATTACCTGCCTAGTCTCTCTGGGTGCAGGAATGGCTGGGTAAACAAAAGCTATTTATTTCTCAAGAGTAAACATTCCTCAAGCTAGTACCAACCTTCTTCCCTTTTCAATTTCTCCCTCTTTCCTTGCAATCTGTCACCTCTACCATTTCTCCCACCCTTGGACTATCCAGATTCATAACAACATCTACAACACTTGCATCTACAACACTACAATCCTTGCATCTACAACACTCCATAGTGGGCTTATTTTGGGCTCTGATGAATATACATCCTAGGACCTTCAGCTGATTCCACAGCCATTCTTGGAGTTAACTCTTTTTTTACCCTCCATCTCTCCAGAATGCTTTTCCCATGAATCACATAGCTCTTTACAAATTAACATGGCTGTGACCATCCTATACATTTACAGTGTCTTTACAGGAAATAGAAAATAGAACTCAAGAGCATATGTATGGTTTTAATAAATTAATCTGAAATTGCCATTCCTTCAAAAAAGTCCTGCTATACTCTCTGACCTGAGGCTAATACAAAAGACTTTCCCAAGAAATGCATAACGAAAACCTTAACAAACCCAGACATACTCAAGATAGGGAACAATGGTGCTTGATCTTAGATTACAAAGAATTTCCCCCTGCTAGAGACAAAATCTCTCTGAGAAAGCTGATTTAAAAGAGCATGCACTCTGAATCAACATTTTTAATACAGTAAAGGAAGCGGGGACATTAAGAGAAAAGAGCAAGTGGTTTTCCCAGATCCAGGAGTCTTTCTCATTGGGTGCCTGCACACAGGGAGGGCTGGGTATGAGGTGAGTTTCCTGCTGCCAACTGCTCAACTGCACACTGAAGCCCGGAGTGCCCTCGATTGCTGTCTGTTGGCTCCCTCTGGTTCCCACTGCCTTGGCTGAGCGTGACGGACAACCCTGAAAGGTTTCTGGAGTAAAAGCTTCTGTGTTCTCCTTGCAGATCACATGGAGAACTCTGAAGGCAGATATCAGCCTAATTAGGGCTGCAGGGCTCCTACCATTCAAGGGATGGGAAGGGCCTCCTAGGAGCTGCGGGCTTTCTTGTTCATACCAGGAAAACTTCCTCTCCATCCTCGCTGCCCTTTGAAGATACTTGTCTAGTTGCAAAAAATAATGAATACTCCAACCTATAAAACACTGGGGTCTGGAGCTAAAAGAGGTAGAAGACTCAATCTGTGAACCAATGGGATCTTGGCTTCCTATCTTCCTTCTGGCATCAGGGGAACATTCTGGGTTTAACAGAATCTCTGAGATAAACTCAAAATAGGCCCCCTTTATTGCTCATTTAGGAGCATTTGGAGAATGTTTAATAAGAAATGCCCCTAAAACAAGATTCCTGGAATGATTTTTCTAAGCACCAATCTGATAGTTCCACTGCCCCTTAGTCTGCAACAAAGCCTTTCTTTAGCTTCCTATTATCCCAGAATCAAACTGGAATTCTTCAGCCGAGCCTCAGCATCTTTTCACATTCTGCAATCTCCTCCTCCAGCCTGATCTCTTACCTCATCCTTCTCTTCAGTCAAGTGCCTATCATTCCCCATGACATTTTCCCCACATCTCCAGGCCTTTATATCTGGACTTGTCCAGCCTTCCGTCTGTGCTACCAGTTTGCCTTCAGGACTCACCTCCTACAAGATGCCTTCGGATACACTCTACCATTTCTCCCCCATCTTCCCTCTGCAGGCTGGGCCATATGATCCCAAAGCATCCTGTTACTTCACTATTACCAGGAGGAACCTACAGCAGTGGCAGTTACTGCCAGTGGACTTGGCTGCCTTCTCCATGAAACTTGCAGCTACTTGAGGGCAGGGATGGGGACTTGGAGAGATTCTCCTCCCCAACTGACTGCACAGCCCATGGCATGCTCCAGCTGACAAATATTCAGAGTAGAGGAATGAATCAACAACAGCAGGCAAAAAAGAAACCTCTGGATTTCTGTGAACTGCAGGTCTCTGCAGAAAGGCCTATACAGTGGGGGTGGGGGGTGTGCAGTTTTATTAGCATGCTTTCCAGCAAACAATTTTGGTAACATATATTACACAAATCATAAAGTCCAGGATGAGCTTCCTGGTTCCTGACACACAGGAATAAAAAGCACACCCTCCCTCCCTTCCTCCTGCCTTCCTTGTTTCTGTCACCTGGAAGTTACTGTGCACCGACCATGTGTCCAGCAGGTTACTAGGGATACAGAGGCAAAGCCAGGTGGAGCCTCTGCATTATGGAGCATTTAGCAAGGTCTATTTGGGGAACAGGACCTTCCTGTTTCAAAGGAAACCCAGCAAGACTTACAGAGGACCTGATAACTTTTAGAGACCAGCTGGGATTCCTGAGCCTCAGGGGAGAAATAAAAGCCTTCAAATAAACCTGATCAAGAGTCATTTATGCCTGGCGGTTGGGTAACTATTTTCCCTAAGAGGAAGTGGAGACAGGCAAAGAGGGTTTCAGCAGAAGCTGCAGGGATCTTAGTATGATCTCAAGAGAGCCGCCGAGATGGCGGCAAGAGCTGTGATGTCTTGAGACCCACAATTGAAGGAGGCCCTGCAACTCCTCCCCGCAGCTGCAGGAAGGGTGAGCAGCCCTTGATGACGTAAGAAGATGGGAAGCAAAGCTCTGGACACCTTCTGTCTCCTGAGGTCCTGGTAAGCACTGTTGGTGCAGACTTGGCCTCATATCAAACCAGTATCAATTCTTGATTCCACAGTCTGTGAGCCTGTAACTGTGAGTCTTGGTTTCCACCACCCAGATAATGGGGTTACTACTACTACCTCCTGGAATTACTGTGAGAATTAAATGATATATTATGATGTGTCAGGCACACGCTGGCACAAAATCTGTATGGTTGTGGTTGCTAGAGTTGTGATGATACTATCATTCTGGTGTCATATAAAGGCTGAATGAGATAAAGATTCAAATGGTTTCTCATGAAACCAGATAATTATATTAAAAAGTAGTGTATTACAATACAATATAGCATAATGTATTAAATAATCAACAGTACTAGTTTGCATTTATTGAGCACTATGTATGTGCCAGGCTCTGTTCTAAGCACTTTGTACGTATTAGCTCATTCAATCCTCACATCAGCCCTATGAAGTAGGTCCTACTAGCATTATCCTTATTTTACAGACAAGGAAACTAAGGCATAGAGAGGCCAAGTAACATGCTCAAGTCATATAAATAGAAACACATGGTGCCAGGAGTAAAACCCACATGGCTAGGCTGCAGAGCATGCCCTCTTGCTGCTAACAAAAGCTCAGCATATCAGACACACCGCCCCAAAGGATAGGACCAAGGCTCCCAGCTCCAACGGCAGCACCCAGGGCTGCTGGCTGCTTGCCACAGTTTCAGTCTCCTCAAACCACCAACTCTTCCTTTGAAGCCCACCTTGGGCCTACTTAGATTTTCAATACACCATTTCTATTTTCAGCTTGCACCATCCTCATCCCCTATTGTGTAAAGATCCCTTGATTGCCTTAAAAAATGCTTTATCCTTTAAGAAGAGCACCTTATTTCTGGAATCTAGTCAAAGAGTTCATATTCTCCTACCCACAGGGGTTCTGAGTCTGTCTATTTCTAGCTCTGTGTTGCTTTTGAAGTCCAAGGAATTAAAATGCTATAAAATGACAGCAACAGGCTCCTGGTCTTTACTTCAAGGAGCACATGCTGCAGTTTCCAAACTTTGTTGGGGAAGGTGGGACTTTTGGCACCCTCCTTGGCTTTGTCCTGCTTTTTATCTGTTTTATATACTTATAAGGTTTCATTTGACAAAGGGTCCTGCTTTCCTCTAAAAAGTCCTAACATTTAGAATTGCTGAATATGTTTTATTAAAATAATGCTTAGAAACAGCTGGTTTCAATTCTTGCCTTTCTTAAGGTGACAAATGAAGATGGGGCAGGACCAGAAAGCTGTCTGACCCCTCCCCTCCCAAGTCTTCCTAATGGGTCTCAGAATCCACTCAGGGCACAGACCCTGAGGGTCAGGGGCATCTTCACAGTAATCATCCCATCTCTCTTGTTGTAAGTTTCCATTTCACCTTACATGTCATCAAGAACATACCTACTCCAAGGGAATACTGGTTCTCTTGGGTGACCATGACAGTGCTACTATTATCCAGCAATTAGAGTCTCCCAAAGCAGGAAAATAGCCACAGAAACACAGTGAGCTCTTAACTGTTCTTGAGAGCCCTATGGGGTCACAGGAAGCAGTACACAGCAAAGACAGACTGACTTCTGATAAGCCTTACCTGTTTTTCAATGAAAGCATTGATTCTCTGTAGCATCCCCTCGCATGTAAATTCATATGGCATGTATGGCTCAATCTGTGGAAACAGAACATGATGCCATGAAGGAGAAGGATAGAGAACATGTAGCACCTCCCCAGTCCTCTGACTCACTCAATATACGGGTGCTAACACCAGGAGGCGGCCTCATGAGGGTTGACTGTGGACTTGCAAGTTGTGATCTCACGCTGATCCTTACTAGGTGTGGGACTCTGAGCAAACGACTTGCCACTTGCCATCTCTAAGTCTCAGGTTCCTCATATGTAAAAGGGTGATATGAAAAACTCACCTCTTTTAAGCTGCAAAGATTATCTGGGAGAAAAAGGGTGCTTAGTTTAGTGACTAGCACCTAGTGGGCATTCAACAAAAGATGGAAGTTATCACTTGCTAGCAGGTAAGTTCCACAGGGCAGAGTCCATGCTGTTGGGTCATCGTTACATTCTAGTGGTGAGCATAGTGTGGCACACGTAGGAAATTAGCAAACATCTGTTGAATGAATGCATGGTCACTGCTCTAAGGCAACAATGAGCAGGTGAAGGATCTATGACAGTGACAAAAGCATTGGTCTGTATTTGTAAGTGAGGTTAGCCTGTACCCAAAGAGCTCAGGGTGCAAAAATAAAGCGATAAAGTGTCACAAGGAGTTCAGCTAGGGGGTCCTGGGAGGCTAGAGGGTCAAAGCAGACTTCTACTCATGCTGGGCTTTTAAGGCAGGCTGTGAGTCTAGTAAGCCCAAACTGGGGAGGGCCAAGATGCTGAAGACATCCTTGGTGAACAAGTAGTGTGGTCTCTAACATGAAAGGACAGCAGGTAACTGCAGCTCAGTATTATGGTAACTGGTGAGACAAGGTGGAAAATTCACTGAATTTCCAGAAAAGCCTTGAGATTTCTATACTAAAGAGCCTCAATTTCATTTGAGGGGAGGAGGAAACTCTAGAGGATGCTTCATTAGGGTAGAGGAGGCAGTCTTATCAATATTGTGACACCTTAGAGAAGGGGAAGAAATGTGGGTTTGATCTCTGCTGCACAGTGTCTGCCAACACTATGAGGCCTGTGTTTTCAGGAGTATTACTGACTTAAAATGGAAATTTCATTTGGGAGAAAATCACCAGCAATATAGTCTATTATTGCTTCAGGGAGCTCAACAGCTCCTCTCAGCAATAGGGTAGACAGGGGCGGTGGGGCAGGGGGCGCACCTTCATCAGCTACCTCTAAAGTCTTTGCTGGAATCTACAGGGTGGAGAACTAGGCAAAACATCTATAGTTGAAGCTTGCTGAAAATGGGACAATGAACAGAAATAACATTCCTTAGTGGCAGCCAAGGAGTTGGTCTCAGGGCATTGTCTCCCCCTTTCTTGTGTGCCAAATCACACATTACATCGAAATCTTCAACAGTGATTTTCAGAAATTTTAATTGTCTTCAAATGCTGAACGAATGCACAGATGTGGGCCACAGTGGCCTACAGCTGTCTGAATAGAGCTAAAAGAGGCTGAGCCGTAAATACTGTAATATCATGCAGACTATTCTACAAGAAAAAAGAGGTCACTCTATTCCTAAACAGCTCATCTCTGAAGATCTCAAAATACTCTGAAGAATTGACTTTCAAGTTCTCAGTTTGTTCCTTGTCAACTCAAGCTTTTGAACTTACTGTTCCCTCTCTAACCCAGACACAGCCCTTCACACAAAATGCAATTTTTTTTTCTTTTCTTTTAAAAGATGTTTAGTCAACCCAAGGGTGACTCCAGAAGCTTTCTATTGCTGGCCTAGAGATAAGTTTTCTCTCAAAGATTCATAGAAGGAACGATCTAAAACAAAGAACATGGCATATCTGGGTTCATTTATCAGTGTTAAAGTAGGATTTGTATAGTGAAATAAACATCTATGGTCATCTTTTATGAGACGAACAGATTTAGTTATGTTAGGAAGCAGGGCGAGTATCCAAGTGCCATTCCAACAATATTTCCAAAGGGAATCCATTAGAAAATGAAAGAAAGTTAATTCAAAGTGTTCAAAGCCAAAAACACAGAAAAATGGCTCTTCCTCTGTTCTCCTACCAACCCAGCCCACTTTAACCAAAGGGATGTTGACTCATTCATTGCTTTGGGGCCGTTCACTGTTTTATTTTATTTATTTTTTAATTAATTTATTTATTATTATTATTATTATACTTTAAGTTCTAGGGTACATGTGCATACGTGCAGATTTGTTACATACGTATACTTGTGCCATGTTGGTGCCGTTCACTGTTTTAAAGGATATGAAGCAAACAATTTTCCTATACAAGAAAAGCAAAAGGGAGGGAAAGATGGAGGGATGGAGGGATAGAGAGATGGAGGGATGGAGGGATGGAGGGATGGAGGGATGGACGGACGGAAGGAAGTCGGTGAGTCAGAAGGTAGGTCTATATTGCTGGACCCTGTGGGGGAGGGCAGGCAGGGGCTTCTGGATTGGAAAGCTCTTCAGAGTCCTAGCAAGCCTCTGAAGTGAGGCCTGTTATGTGAATTGGGGGCTGGAAGAGTGGGCAGTTTTCTGCATAAAAGTTGTTTAGGAACAAGTGAAGGCCTCTTTGGGGGACAGAATGAAGGAGAATGCTAAATCACATCCAGTCATTGAGAAACCCAAGCTAGGCCAGCTGTGGAGAAGCAAGGAAGTATTCTTGGGCATCCTGCTTTGTTAAAACAAAACAAAACAAAACAAAAAGGACTGTTAATCATATGGCGAGGGCCACAGGAAGGATGCCTGTAGATTGCACTGTGAAGTTTCTGATGACCTTGGAAACATTCCCTTATCTTCCCCTCCATTTTCTCTTCTTGACCTCCCTTCTTGTGTGATTTCCTGTCTCCACTAGTACCGACTCACCTTTCCAAGTCAGGGACAACTTCTACAGGCAACTGCTTTCAAAGATGAGCCTCCATGAGAAGCCCTCTATGGTCTGACCTGACAGATGTGGCTTGGCATCATTCAATACGAAATGGTCTCAGAAAGTACTAGGAGGCCAGGGTTTGACTCACGGCTCCTCTGCTTACTAACCATAGGATTTTGAGTCAGCAGAATCTGTAATTTCTCTTCACGATTTCCAGTGTACACTAGGTCATCTCATCACCCTGTTCAAAACTTCCCATCACACTTATAAAAAAATCCTGAACACTTAAAAACAAACAAACAAACAACAAAAAAACCAACCACACCCACACACACACAAAAAAAAACCCAAAAAAGAGAGAGAAAAAAAAAAACCTGAACGTTTACCATGGCCTTTTGAAAGGCCCCACACATATTCTGGTTCCTGAGGACCCTTTTACGGTCTCCATTATTTCTGATGAGAAGTTGGCTGTGTTAATACCATTATTCCTCTAAATGTAATATATTTTTCTCTGGCTGCTTTCAAGGTTTTCTTCCTTATCTTTGCTTTTCAGCAGTTTGATTATAATGTATCTTGGTGTGTTTTTCTTTTCTGCTTCTACCTCAGCTTTTAAATGGCTCTCCTCAAGAGTACAAGCATTAACTAAGTGTTGTGGACTGAATTGTGCCCCTTTAAAAGATATGCTGTTCTAACCCCCAGCACCCATGAATGTGATCTTATTTGGAAATAGAGTCTTTGCAGATGTAACCAAGTTGGATGAGGTCACACTGAATGAGGGTGGGCCCTAATCTTGTATAAAAGGAAAAGACAGAGACGCACACAGGGAGAAGCCATAGGATAATGGAGGCAGAGATCAAACTTTTGACGTTGCAAGACAAGAAATGCCTAGGCCTACTGGAAGTTGAAAGAGGCAAGGGAGGATATCCAGCTGGAGACTTTGTGGGCGGGACGTGACCCTGCTGACATTTTTGACTTCAGACTTCTTGCTTCCAGAACAGAGAGAATAAATTTCTGCTGTTTTAAGCCACTCAGTTGCTTGCACTACTGTGTTACGGCAGCCCCAGGAAGCTTATATGCTAAGGGACTGGGAGAATCAAGAAAGAAGAACCTTCGCCCTTCCATAGGAATGACTCCGGTGGTGAAGCTTTAGGTGTGTGGCAGATATTTTGAGGCAGCCTATAGGAACCACACTCTATTTGGCGCTTCTTTCATCAGTTTGGTCTCCTGAGGTCGGGGACTTCTATCCAAACTGCTGAGACTAGGACTGGGAATGTATGTATCATCAATGGGAAGCTGACACCAAACAGACCACCTTGAAGCAGGCAGAGCACAGATAATGCATCAGAGTGCCCTCACTCCTCTGGAGATGTTCTGAATTAACTGAAATCAGCAGTTCAGTGGGCCACAAACTGATTATCCTGTTCTGTTTCCCAGAGGGGTAAGATGGCCTCCACATGGGCACACTGACTATCCCTCCCAGGATATATGCCTTTTCAGCCTTTTCCCTTTCAGTCACACTGTTCTTTGAACCCATGCCCTTCTGTGTCCACTTCTCAGTTTTACTTTGCAAATTACTCCTCATCCTGTAAGACTTAACTAAAAGGCTGCATTCTCCAGAAAGGCTTCCCCAACTTCTACTCCTGGAGCGTTTGCATGTTGCTTTGGCACTGAACATATTCAGCCTTGTATTATGCTTACTTGCAGACATCTATTCCTCTCTCCCATCTATCCATTGGGTAAATCCCTATGTGGGCACTGGTAATACAGAAATGAGACAGATGTATATCCTGACTTCATGTTGCTAATGGTGTAGTAGAAATTTAGACTATTGACAAAAATCATAATACTTAATACTGACTAAACGCTATATAGTAGACATTGAACTTAAGCACTTTATATACATTATCTCATTTACTCCTCACAAGTAACCAATCAAATGGTAATGCTGGCCCTATGTTACGCATGAAAGGAAGCTGCTAGTAAGTGGTAGAGCTAGAACTGAACCCACACTGTAAGTCCAGCTTGCCCTCCCCACATGCCTACACTGGCTTCTCTTAAAGCATCGTAACCAAGTGTAAAAAGTGCTCCCATCAAAGTATAGCAGCAGAGTGCAGCTGTGAGAGTCCATGGCGGATTCAGATTGGCAGAAAGGATAACTGAACTCTTCTTTACTGGACGGTAAACTTCTGATAGGTGGGAAGCCAGCCCTCCTCTGTGTTTGTGGAAGTAAACACCCCGCCCCCTCCACAACCCCAGGTGACTCAGAGAGCACTCTGTGTATGGCAGGCACCTGACACACGTCTGCTGGATTGATCAGAAGAGGCCAGAAATGTAGTTACTTTTACAAAATTCTACTAAACGTTTAGGTAGGAAAAAAAAACCAAAACAGATGTTCTATAAAAACCGTCCCCAGTATTTCCTTGCACTTCTCTCTCTCTTATAGAGGAAGTAGGGCTATCTTTTCAGATCTTTGTGAGAGCAACATAATCAGATCACTGAACCAAGTATGACTCCAGATCCTGCTCCTGTGCCTGGGATCCAGGCACACATCAGGATACCAGCTCTGTTTCCAATTCACAGAACATTCATGAAATCCCCAGGCCAAATCCTACAGCTTGGTTATTTTCTAATTCTAGGGTTAAGCTGATGTGGTAAAGATCTGTTTATTAAAACCAAGGACCTATGATGCTTTATACACATTTCAGGTCACATTAGAAATGAGGGAAAGTGGAATAAAAGAAACCAACCTTCTGATTTAAAATTGCTTTCACTGCATCCTCTACTTCCTCCTGATTGTTGAGGTCAACAGTCCACACATGTGGCCGCCCGATGAAAACTTCAGCGTAAGGATGCTGGGATGTCAGCTGGAAAAGAAGCAAACACCTCAGTCTCACAAGCGAGTTTTAAAATAACTTTCTGTGCTAGATGGCGTGCTATGCTTTTTACGGTACTGAGTTACAGTTGTGTAGGTAACAAGACATTGTGTCCTTCCCTTTGATGATCAAAACCATCCATGAGCAGATAACAATAAAACAGTGATGGTTCTGTATCTTGAATCCCACTTGAAAATAAGATAATGTCACAACCAGGTGACAAGGAAGCTGCTACAGGTGGCTTTAACCCCCAACATCACACCAAGAAATGATGAACAATTTCTTCTACCCGAGAACCCAGCCCTGAAAATCACCTATTAATAGATCAAACCAGTATCTATTATCCTGGCTAAGACAGACAGGTCAGCATAGACAATTACAAGAAAAATCAAGGCTGTAAAGTCCCAGGAGGCTAAGTCATGGTGCATAGAAAAGGTGATAGAAAAAAATGATACCATCAGAAATACATAGAATTTCTAGAATGGTTTCAGGAATAATCATTAGCATAATATTCAGAAAAACAAGGAATGTCAGTTTTTGTCCTAAAGGAGGTTTTATTTGAAAAACAATGTGTGGTCAAAGAAACCAAGTGTGAACCGTGACAATTCTTTAATTCATGAAGTGTCCATTCTTCTTTTTCTCCCCCCGCTCCAAAGGGTCTTGCTCTGTTGCCCAGTCATAGCTCACGGAAGCCTCAAACTCCTGGGCTCAAGAGATCATCTTGCCTCAGCACTCTGAATAGTCGGGACTACAGATGCGCACATCATGCCTGGCTAATTAAAAACAATTTTTTTTTTTTTTTTTTTTTGGTATACACAGGGTCTATGTATGTTGCCCAGGTGGGTCTCAAACTCCTGGCCTCAAATGATTCTCCTGTGTCAGCCTCCCAAATTGCCGGGATTACAGGCACAAGCCACTGTGCTTAGTTGAGTCCATTCTTTAATACAGCTAAATTTATCCCCTGATTTTGCTTCCATCTCTATCCTCACATCCCTTTAAGGTCATGTTGTAAAGGGAGCGTTTTAGACACATGTGAGAGCATTTTCAGCTACCATAATAACTGGAGAGTGTTACCTTAGTCTGTGGGTGGGAACTAGGGATAGAAGCTGCTTCACAATGTGCAAGGACAATCCTGCACAGGAAGAACTGTCCACTGCCCATGAAACTTTCAAATGCCCTGCAGGGCTTTCACATGGGCTTACAGAGTCTAGCTTTTTATTTTTCTTGAAACAGAGTCTTGCTCTGTACCCCGGCTAGAATGCAGTAGTACGATCTCGGCTCACTGCAACCTCTGCCTCCTGGGTTCAAGCGATTCTCCTGCTTCAGCCTCCTGAGTAGCTGGAACTACAGGTGTGAACCACCACACCCGGCTAAGTTTTTGTATTTTTAGTAGAGATGGGGTTTCACCATGTTGGCCAGGCTGGTCTTGAACTCCTGGCCTCAAGTGATCCGCCTTTCTCAGCACCCCCAACTGCTAGGATTATAGGCATGAACCATCATGCCCAGCCAGAATCTAACTTTTTGACAGTTCAAACATACAGTGAATTATCCACAGACATAATCACATAATCGTGTAAATGAAGCAATGTCTCTGCTCTGTTTTATCTGAAACGTCACCAATGAGCTGTCACCATTTCAGAAAGATCAAAGCAGCAAAGTCAATGCCACTGAGGATGTCAGAGTCTTCAGTAAAACCTACCCACATTTGTCTATATATGGAGCTATCACATTACTGGCAATTGTGTTTATATGTGGGTATATGTAAACACACTCAGGCTTCGCTCCTCCTTCACAATGTCAATTGTAAGTAAAAAGGCTGACCATATTCAGCTGAATGTTTCACTCCTTTTAAATGAAAACACTCACTGTGAGGAGGAACAAGGCATCACAGTGCCTGGTACAGCTCTTGGGTATGGGACAGTATAGTTCTTGACTCCATAATGCTGAAATATGTATTGCTTTATTAGGAATTCTTTTCCTTTTATTTCTCCTTTACATTTGAGTCAGAGAATTATTCTCTTTTGAAATTACACACATAGGCAAGGTTATATAATTTACAAATTTCATCTCATATTTATAATAGGAAATACTGGGTCTGGCAATGCTGACGCCTTTGCTTTGGAGGTCAAGCTAGCCCTCCTCTTCTCCTCAGACTCCAGGATACTCAGAGGGCTGGAGGAAATAACTGGCACCCCTCCACCTTTCCCTTAGCCACTGTTCTTTGTATCCTACCACACAAGAGCATGCATGTACTATTCAAGGCAGGAAGCCCGACAAGTCCCTGGCCCAGAAGCGAGCCTCTGCTGGCTACAGGTTATCTGGGCCTCTACCCAGCAGCAGCCTGTCATCAGCCTCTTCAGTTTCCAGCCCTCCTGACAGGTGCCCTCTTCCTCGGCTCAGCTCTATGGTCAGTGATGAAAGTCACAGACTCTCTGCAGGTCCATGGAGCTCAGGAAACTTCCATTTTTTTCCCTCTGCACATGTTTTGGATTCAACACTTATCAAGGAAGCCCTAGGCTGGGCCAGGAGTCCTGCTAATCGCCTGCACAAATGTTATTTCTCAGGTTTATTTATGTATCAATGACGATTCTGAGACTGAGAGGCGATTACATTTCCCCCAAGACCACACAGCTGGAAAGGAGAAGAGCCAACTTCAAATCCAGGTCCTTCAACAACTTCTTAGCTTTGGATAAAAAGGAAGGTGACAATTTTAAAGGATGTCTTTGGGTTCTTAAGACGAAAGCCCAATGTAAACACCAGCTTTTTAATCCAGTTCTTAAAACTTGCCAACCTAAATTCAGGACTGATTTTATGCCTGTATTTTCTGAAGATGAGCAAAATGTCACATCATTTTCATTTTATGGCCTGGAGAACTAATTAGTTTTTCTGACGGAATCAGGGTAAGTTAAAGTTGTCATTAATGTCACTATTTAGTAATTTACATGTCAGCAATCTCCCTCGTCTCCTGCCTTTTAAGGTCTCTGCTTATTTACAAGGTTGCTTCAAGCACTTGGAAAATACGAAATGCTGAGCTATTATCCTTTTATTCATTTACATTTACTGAAGGTTACTTAACTTTATGAGTGAGGCATTTTGTGATTAATTAGTTCCCCTCTGAATGTTACGTTCTTTCTTGTTAATTTATTGAGAACCATCTGAGCTAAGATACTTCATTGTATATGAATCAGTAAATTTACTGGAGTATAGTTTATAAAAGTAATGAAAATCTTATTAAATATGAGACATTACTTCAGAATGGCTATTAAATCTCCAAGGAGAACATGAGTTCTCTTTATGGAAAACACACACACACACACACACACACACACACACAAACCCGGAAGCCAGAGTATTTCTAATGGCTTACAAAATGTCAGAATAATGATCAAGAACCTACTGTTTCCCAATGTAAAGATAAAAATCCAATTTATATTAAAATGTAACCTGAACCAGCCACATTACTTAAGGCACTGTGGAACTTTTCCCACTCTGTGTAGACATCATGGTTTGAAAAATGGTCTGGTGCAAAAATAAAAACCAAGCTAAACCCACATTTAGATATCCAGACTTTTTCTTCTCTTCAAATGAAGGCAAAGAGATATGTATGCAGTTGATATGATCAATTTAGGTGGATCAAATATTGCTTAATATGAAAGATTTGTATGGGCACAAAAAGGTAGTTTTATGTAATTATGTATACTCTGATTACAATGTTTCCATTTGCTAAGGAAAAAAGATAATTTCTAGGAATTTTTGATTCTTAGAAATGAACCTGTTGACAGCTCTTTTCCCATTAAAAGCTTCTTTAGTTACGGGCATTTTACGGGCTTTTGTGAGCTGGCAGAGCAGGACAGGGTGACCCACCTGGCCACGAGATCAAGCTCACTGGTCCCTCTCAATGCTGTCTGATGTTGCTGGAGGGAGCTAGATATCAGATGGAACCTGCCCTCTTGCATAAAGCAAACTGACCTTCTTGGGGTATCCCCAGCTTGTCAGTATTCATGCTTCTCAGGCTTGAGACCCGCTCTCCTCCTTTTCCTTTAAAGCACAGCCCCTCTTCTATCCCCTTCGCAGCTAACCCAGCACATCCTCCACCCAGCACAACTCCAAGTTCACTCCCCTCCTGAATTCACTTAGCTATTTCTTCATGCACTTCCACTGATTATGCTTTTGTCCTATAACTATTTCATATCAGATTTGGAGCTCCTGGAAAACAGGAAATGTACATGGATGAATTCTCCCAATGCAGCAACTAGTACCACCCTGCGGGGATGCATTAAACACCTGTCAACTTCCCTCTGCATCCTGCCCTCCTGGGGGAGCCTAGGACTGATGGAGTCATCTGTGTGAGGTCACTTGCTGAGCAACTACTGAAAGGATCCCATGGTTTCTCTAATAGAGTCACATTTAAGGGCTGGTGGAATCATCTGAAGGGATGAAGGGACAGGAGGAACCAAATGCCCGTGTGACAGCCCCAGTGCTTATTCTCTTCTTACAACATAAAGAATGAAAACCTCACATGACCTCAGCAAAAAGTAAATTACAAAATGATGGCAACTGACAGAAAACAATGAAATGCTTTTCTTGATAACTTCACACTGGCTGATCTGATCCATGTAACATTACATCATTCACTGGGCAATGTTCGGATTGTGTTTAATTTTTTTTTCTTTTTCCCGGGAAAAAAATACCCAGTGGCCACAGTGTCATTAAAACCTTTAGAGTCAGTTTTAACAAAAACGTGTCAGTTGCCAACTTAATCTCAGCTACTTTTGATTCATTTCCCAAAGGCTTGTATATAGAAACTGCAGTAAGAAAAGAGATGGGCTTCTTTGCTTTTCATGCATTTAAAAAATCATGAGGGAATCAGAAAATCACCATCAGAATACCGCAGTAATAACTGTTGCAGACATGATCCACTCCTATATGATACAATAAATACTGTACTTATTTGTATAGTATGTGATACTATACAAATCCACTGCTATATGATACAAAAGTTTGAAGATAAACAGGATATTCTAACATAGCCCCAAAGTATTACCCCTACTATAGAGAAAAGAGTAAAAGAGTAACTTCATAGTGGAGAAACCTGGGATCAATCAGTACAGCATATTGACATCATATGCCCCCAACGTGATGTTCTGAGAAGGATACATCACTTCTGGGATATTCTTGCCAAAAATGCCTAACTTCAAATTTGACTGATGGGAAAACATCGGTCAAATCCAAATTGAGAAACTGTGTACAAAAAGCTGACCTGTGCTCCTTAACAGTGGTAAGGTCATGGGTGATAGTGAAAGACTGAATTGGCACAGATCAGAGGAGACTAAGGAGACATGAGTATTAAATGCAATGTGGGTCCTGAATCAGATTCAGGAACAGAAAAAGGATCTCGCTGGAAAAACTGGTGAAGTCCAAATAAAGTCTGTAGTTTAGATAATACTATGGTACCAATGTTAATTTCTTGGTTTTGACCACTGTACTGTAGTTTTGTAGAAGCTGCCATAAGAAGCAGCTACAAGAACTCTGTATTATTTTTGCAAATTTTCTGTACCAGTAAAATTATTTCAAAGTAAAAAGTAAATTCTAGCAAGTCTACTTGTAGGTACACTCCTCAAAGTATTAAAAGCAAAGACTCAAAATACTTGTATGCCAATGTTCATAGTAGCTTTACAATGGGCGAAAGGTGAAAAAACCCAAATGTCCATCAACAGATGAAGAAGCAAAATGATTTATATATATATTCAATGGACTACTCAGCCTTTAGAAAGTAATGTGTGTATATATATATTCATAAAAAGAGTGACATAGGCCAGGCATGGTGACCCGTGCCTATAATCCCAGCACTTTGGGAGGTTGAGGTCAGGAGTTGGAGACCAGCCTGAGCAACACAGTAAGACCTTTGTCTCTGCAAAAAAAAAAAAATTTTTTTAATTAGCTGGGTGTGGTGGGGTGTGTCTGTAATCCCAAGCTACTGGGGAGGGTCGCTTTAGTCCAGGAGTTCAAGACCAGCCTAGTTAATACAGTGAGATCCCATCTCTACCAAATATAAAAAGAGTAGCCAGGTGTCGTGGCACACACCTGTAGTCCCAGCTACTCAGGACGCTGAGGAAGAAGGATCGCTTGAGCCCAGGAGTTTGAGACTGCAGTGAGCCATGATCACACCACTGCACTCCTCCAGCCTGAGTGACAGAGCAAGATCCTGTCTCCAAAAAAATAAAAAGGAATGAGATTCTGAAACATACTACAACATGAACAAACCTTGAAAACATGCCAAGTTAGTGAGCCAGACACAAAAGGACAGACACTATATGGTTCCACTTACATGAGGTACCTAGAATAGGCAAATTCACAGAGACACAAAGTAGAAGAGAGGTTTACCAGGGGTTGAGGAGTGGGGAGAATGGAGAGTTATTGTTTAATGGCTACAGAATTTCTGTTTAGAATGATGAATAAGTTCTGGAAATGAATAGCGGTGATGGTTGCACAATATTGCAGATATACTTAATGCTAGTGAATTGTACACTTAAAAATGGTTAAAAAACTTTAACCATAAATGGTAAGCTTTATGTTGTATATACTTTATCTCAAAATATTAAACAAACATGGAAAATTACAAATAATATCTACAATTTGGGCAGAAGTAGAACTTTAGAGATTTCCTAGACCTAAATTAAAATGTATAGGTGATTTTCACATAAAAACAGACATATAGACCAATGGAACACAATAGAGAAGCCAGAAAAGAACTGATTCCCAACAAGGCTGACAAGAATACACAATGGAGAAGGACAATGTCATCAATAAATAATATTTGGAAAACTTGATTTCCATATGCGTAAGAATGAAATTAAATCTTTATCTCACACTATCTATAAAAATGAATTCAAAATCGCTTAGACTTCAATATAAGACCTGAAACAGCGCAATTACTAGGAAAAAAACCAGTGCAAAAGCTTTTTGACACTAGTCTGGGCAATGATGTTTGGATATGATACTAAAAGCACAGGCAACAAAAGCAAAAACGGGCAACTGAGATTGTATCAAACTAAAGAGCTTCTGCACAGCAAAGGTAACAATCCATAGAGTGAAAAGGCAACCTACGGAATACCTGCCAACCACATATTTAATAAGCGGTTAATTCCCAGACTATGCAAGGAACTCCTACAACTCAACTGCAAGAAAACCCAACCAAGCAAATTAAAATATAGGCAAATAACCTGAAGACATTTCTCAAAAGAAGACATACACAAGGCAAACAAATATATGAAAAGGTGCTCAACATCATTCCTCATCAGGGAGATGCAAATCGAAACCACAAGGAGATATCACCTCATGCTTGTTAAAATGGCTTTTATCAAAAAGACAAAAGATAACAAGTGTCTGGCAAGAATGTGGTAAAAAGGGAACCTTGGTACCCTGCTGGTGAAAATGTAATGTGTTACAGCCATCAATGAAAAAGAAAATGGAGGTTCCTCAAAAAATAAGAAATATAACTTCACATAATCCAGCAATCCCACTGTTGGGTATATATCCAAAGCAATTAAAATCACTATGTTAACGTGGTATCTGCACTCCCATGTATACTGCAGCATTATTCATAATAGTCAAGATATGGCAACAAACTAAGTGGCCTTCAGTGGCTGAATGGATAAATTATGTGCACATGAAATATTTAGCCTGCAAAAGAAGGAAATCCCATCACTGGCAGCAACATGGACGAATGTGGAAAATGTTATGCTAATAAGCCAGGCACAGAAGGAAAATTCTGTATGATTCCACATGCAGACCAGCCTAGTTGAACTCACAGTTCAACTCACAGTAAAACGGTTGAACTCACAGAAGCAGAGAATACATTCGTGATTCCCAGAGACTGGTGCATGGGGATATGGGGAGATGTTGGTCAAAGTTTCAGTTATACAAGTTGAGTTAAGTCCTGGAGAGCTACTGTGCAGCATTATGACCGCAGTTAACAATACTGTATTGCATACTTGAAATTTGCCAAAAAAGGAGATCTTAAGTGTTTTTACCATGGAAAAAAAAATCTATTTAGTATGTAAGGTGATAGATTAGCTTGACTGTAATGACTATTTCACAATGTGTGTATTTATCAAAACATCAAGGTGTACACCTTAAATATATTTTTTGTGAAAAAACTCAAGGGATGATTTACTAGTTTCTTTTCCACCCCAAACTCCGAAGTTTCAAAGAAGTCAGTCACCTGCTAAAGCAGAGATTCCTAAACAGATATTTTCACTGCTAGGCAGCATCTTTTTAAACTTTTCAAAAGAATAGGTTCATGGCAGACTGAATTTCCCCGGTCTCTGTGTCCTAGCACTTCCAACAGCACCTAGCACACAGATATGCACATTAAGTTCTGCTGAGTTATAAATGAACAAACTGACCTCTGAATACAAAACCACTCCCCAAATGAAGAATTCAAATTTATTATTCTAGCAGAAGGGGGGGAAAAAAAAGCCACACTCACCCGCGCGCACACACGTAACCCTTGTCAGAGGTTATCTGGGCCACAGATTAACCTTTTATAGATAAACTATGGATATTATTGATCTTCTCTCTCCTTTGGCCATTTCACCAATGACAGGAAGGGTCAGAGAAAAAGAACTCTCAAAATAATCAGTTCTATCAATTGTCAAGGTTTCTGACTGATCAATAAAAAATAATCATTGAGAATGCATCTTATATACTACATGGGAGAGAAAACGACTCAGAAGGGTTTAAAAGCAGAATTGAAAAATGTATGTTTTATAAACTGTCCTTCTACATTGATATGCCATGGGAGGGATGCTAATCAATGTAATCCCCCCAAGGCCCTGAATGACGAGGATGCTGCTATGACTTCCCTTCATAAGCTGCCTGCAGAGCCACTTACTACTAACTACACAGAAATAATCAGAAAATCTATCTTATGATTTCTTGCACACACCTATTTCTGAGCAGATGCAGAAACACCCAGTTTGATCACTCACAGGTAAAAGACTTTTGTTTATTGCCCTAAATCAAATCTGACTATCCTTAATGGTGATTCATCACACACTGCAGATTTTCAACAGGATCTCTGAAGGGAATTCAAATGAGGTTTCTGCAAATGGTTCTAGCAATGGCAGGATTACTTCTTGGAATGGTGGGTGAAAAAAAATTACTTCAATTATCCATGATACATATGGTATACTGAGGCTGATGGTTCTCTGCAAACTCCCACAGTCCACTTTTTATTCTCCAAAGCCCATCATGGGGAGCAGATTCTTCACAAATATGTACTAACCAGTTGATCTCACTCCCTAAACTTAAAACATTCAGAAAATCAGAGTTCAGCTATAATCAGAAGGCTAGAATGTCTGAGTTTACAATAAGCTAGAGTGGGGGTAGAGTGCAAAGATCCCTTACTTGCTGAAGGCAGAAGTAGATTCAAATCCTGCCCCTAACTTGCAAGGTGACGTGACCGGGTCATTTGTCTCTCTGAGCCTCCACACCCTCAGCCTCTCATCCAACCATGTTAAATGAAGTTAATGCCCACATTAGCACTCAATAAATAGCTATTATTCATATTATTCAAAGTGGAATAATTTTGATAGATGCTTACCTCTCTCAGAGTTGGCTTGCCAATGAAAAAGTCTGTGTTTTTGCTGCTTTTGGGTGGGTTGAACTTGGGATTCAGAAAAGCACATCCATTTGCGATAGCCTCCAGGGGAGCTGGGCCCTCATAAGGGAACCCAAGTCCAACAAATAACTGTAAGACAGAAAACCATACAGCATATGAACACATCAGGCAGGACCATCAGGCAGGACAGGCATTCCCGGCTTGCAGGCGGCGATTCTGTGGCCCATTCCCGAGTGGACATCTCACTTTGGAAGGCTCCCAGGCCCTGGGGGGTGAGGCAGAGAGAATTCAGCTTACACCAGGATCTGAAAAGCTACAAACTTTTAAAGGCCCCACAAAGCTGCTCAACTCACTATGCTCTCCTCCACTAAAGGAAGTAAAAAATTAAGTGTCCAGGGGTATCAGGGGGTAGGCAGGTTGGAGTATTAAAAAAACCACCACGACCCAACAATAATCTTTCTGTAACTCACCAGGAGACATGACTGGAAAAACACTTGCTTAACTACACAGAAGGTTTCTTCATTGAACCAAAGAAACAACAGGCTCTTTCAGGAATGCTGGGCGGAGGGAGAGAAAGGTCACTTGGAGGTTTGATTGCAGTTCAAATGGAACTGCTTTAAAATGATGGTAGGTCAGTAAACACAGGTTTTCATAATGGGGTTTACACTGGGGACACCAACATCTTGGTGTTGATTTTACCCTCACAGGGGAGAGACTGTGCTGTGTTGACGAATTTGCAAAGCAGCTGCTTCCCTCTCCAGCAGGCAAACCATGTGCTTCCCCCAAGACAGACCATAGATGGCAGCAACAATTTGCTCTCAGAGTTCTCAGAGCAACCACAGCAGCTGGAAGCCACGATGACAAAGGGGACAAGCTGCAGTTCAGTGGTGCTGATTTCCTGGGTACAAAAATGAAATAACTGCTCCCAGAAATGCCTCGGCACATGCTGTCACAGTGAGTGCCTTTCGCACTGCTGGATAACTGCAGGTTGTTGATGGGCAGGATCCAGGACTGGGCTTGATGAAGCTGTGTCCTCCTTACCCACATCAAAGAGCCGGTTCTGTTCCAGCCCCCAGGGGCACATTAAGTGAGAAAAGATAACTGGGCCCCAGGGCGTCCTTTCCTTCTGCCATCACACAGAGCATCACCCACCACAAGGCCAGGCGTTGAGAATAAAGGAGATGGCTCAAATAGATTTAGCTACAAGCTTGATTCTCTTTTTCCCTAGGTCTTTTCACAGCAATCCCCTCCTCACCAGCTTTGCAGCTGCTCTAATTGATCGTTTAGAAAGGTTCAGCTGGTGGTGGAGGGTGCGGCCAACCCTGAGCACAGCCCATGAGTGACATACTGGAGAACCAGGTAGCTCCTGAAGGAATTCTGGGGCAAAGCACTAACATCTCAGGTTTTCTGGACGTATTTACTTTTGTTTTGCACACAATAGGGTACTCAATCTTTTTGGTTTTTTGAAAGAATAAACTTTCATTTCCTGCAAACTGCGTGATCACAATACCAGAGACGTCCACAGGGCATGGAGCTGGGAAGAAAAGAAGCTTTGAGAGGTCAGCAGAGCCCCTAATACTGGCTGGGTCATTTCCCCCTTGGGCAGCAGAACCGCGGGAGGTCACGGGTGGGGGTGGTGGTGAGGAAAACATGGTAGCCAGGAGCCTGGAAGCTGTAGGATAAAGGGAAAGTTCTACTACAATTAGGAAGCTCCTGCTCTGCATCTTACTCTTATTACACAGCTAACAGAAAGCAGATTGTCAGAGAGAACTTCTAACTATAGGGTGTGGCCTGGGCATGTGGCTCATGGGTAGGGGAGATCTGACTGCTGCAGATGAAATGGAGGGAAACAGTGGGATGTACTAGTCCCACGATATCCCAGCTTTATGGAATATGAAGAATCCAGGGTTGTTATCCATCAGACTTGTGATCTCTGTGATTTGCCCTCTCCTATCAGACTCTGGAGAGGATGTGCTGGCTCTCCAGTGGACAACAAATGACCTCTGTCAGGCCATGGTTAGACGTAAGATAGCACAGGGAGTCCAGATCTTTCTGACTGAGGAGAAAAGTGCTAGAAGATGCAGATCAGGATCTCTGCAGGTTTAGTCAGATAATCCACAGTGCTTCCTGGCCTCTGAAAATCAGGGCCTGCCATAAAGTGTGGATACCTTCATCAACTCTAAATTTCAAAGAACAACTCTGGAGGAAATGTAAGCAGCACAATGTTTGTCTATTTAAACAGAAAATCTTGGGAAAAATTTAATTAGCTTCTTTAGACCAACCAATCTGAACCCATTAATTAAAAGGATGAGGCTGTTGCTTAATGGACTTGAATGTGACCTAGGTTTAATTATATCTGAATAACAATATGAACCATCTCTTCTGCCCTGTGGGCACCAGAATATCTCAGTACACATAAAATAAAAACTTTAGGTTAACTCTTCCAAGTCTCATATGTTTAGAATGAAGCCTAAGCAAATACAACATAATTTCCTGGCAATGAGTGTTTTTGTCACACAAGTAGGACTGTAGGAAATACATTATTTGGAAACACCAAAATAACAGTTATTTTGTCATTTCAGTCAATAAGCAATTTTTTTCTTGCTTCCTGTGTGCTTATTACCTGTGACATTACAATGGAGCAGATGTATTAAGGTCAAATAGCACATCTGAGGTTTGAATGAAAACACAACAGGCGGAGAGAGTTCATCACCACCAAACAGCACTCTGTAAACTTCCTTGCACTTATGGTTTTGCAACACATTGGCACCTTAATCACACTGAACTGCTTTTCCCCTAATTCCCTGCTATTCTGCCTGCTTACCAATTTCCTTAGCAAGGAGGCAAGAGACACACTGCCAGAATGTTCTCAAGTGCCAAGGCTTAACTCTGCCGGAGAAAACTGGCCATATTTTATTTATACTTCACCTGGCCTTCAGAAGCCCAGAATCTAATGAGGATATTCCAGATGACAAAATATCTCCATGGCTACAACTCCAGCTCCATCAGTGAGAATTTCTACATAGAGGGATTGTGGAATCTAGGATTAAATTTTTGAACTAATGCTAAGCAGAGAGAACAGATGAAGCACCATACGTTTTCTTCACAGTATAGGATTGGGACGTTCCTACATATCCATAAAGGGTCTAGTAAAACCACTCAGATTTTTCCCACTCTGTGAAAGAATACACAATTGTTTTAAACTGCTAAGTGGAGTACTTAAAGAATCCTTTAAACATGGATAAAGGGGGTTCTTATCCATGGGCTTGGTCAGTTTCACTCTTGATGCGGAACATTGAGGATAATCCTAAATAGGAAACACACACACAACACACACTTTTCTGGCCAGTTTTAATTAGTGGAGTTGGCATGGTGACTCTAGAGGGAAACTGAGCAATGAACCACTCCCGGTTCACCAAATGAATTGATGAATCCATTATTGGCACAAAGTGCCCAGAACAATGTGTTAACTTACAGCACAGGTTCTGGAGTCAGACTGTAGGCTTCATAGGCCTGGCTCCATCGTTGCCTAGGTTAGTAACTGTGACAAATTGCTAGATGCTTCTGTCTATGGATTCTTTAAGGCCCATTTATAAATCTATTCTATTTATAGGGCCTTAGTCCAGGTAACAAGCTTGCTAAACCTCAGTCTTTTCATGTATAAAATAATACTACTTTATTTCATGGGGTTGCTGTGAGGATTACATGAGATAGTACATGGAAAGGATTCATTCCAAGTCTTGGCGCTTAGTAAGTGTTGGATAATCAGTCACTCAAATTCAAATCCATATGTAACTTCACACAGCTGCATATTAAGGCCCTGTATCATTTAGACAGAGTTTAGGTATGCAGGAGTTATGTTTGTGGGTTTACAAGATGCTCAGCACCTGCATGTATGAGTTCTTATTGTTTCATAAAGTATCTGTACTAAAAAAGGGGGAGGGACATTCATCAGAAGAGAGAGATAAGAGATGATATGGTTTACAGTGAATGCCACATAAGCCAGTCCCACGAGTCACACGCTATTGCTAAGCTTTGCTTATTTTTATACAATGACTGGGAATCATTACATTAATGTTTCTGGTAATAGGCATCCCTTTTATATCTTAAAAATAACCGAGACAAGGGCTGGGTATGAAGAAAACAATTTTCCCAAAATGTGATGCTTTTATGTAGCCCAAAGGGACCCTTCTCTGGCCATCTGCCTTCTTTCAGGTACCTGATGCTTAAGGAAGGGATAAACAGTGGCCAAACTCTCTCCCGTCCAGGCTGACTCTATCCTCCCAAGGGCTCCACAAGCCCCTGACTCACATGACCTGAAGACTCTCTAGGGAAGAGCTGGAAGGGCCACAGAGGCTAAGAAAAGAAGACCCACGAAGCATGTTTACATGCCCAAAGCAGACTTTTGTCAAAGTCTGCTGCTAAACCAAAGACTATTTCCTGAAGACCAGCCGGCTGATTATGTTCAGCTACCTAAATACCCTTTCAGAAACAAAAACCCAAACCACAAACAACAGCATCAGGATAAAAAGTTCCTGAGTTTCGGTCATCTGAAAGCCCCAATATAAAATCAAACACATTACAATTCACATTGTAAATTTATTAATTTGGAGATGGGGGAGTAAAAGAGTATTTGCATAAATTTAAACCTGTAGATGCTGAACGTGTTCAGCTAGGCCAGCCTCAAGTGCTCACCATTAAAAGTCTACTCAGGCATCACCTCCTGGGAGGGCCCTTTCCTGACCATACCTCTCTCACCCAAATTCCACACCAGGACAACCCCTCAGCTGCCAACACGGAGGCAGCAAAACAGGCTTATTCACGACTGGAGCCTCAGTGACTGCTTCATTAAAATGGTACTGTTTATAACAGTACCAAGATTACTGGATTTCTGTGATGAAAAGAGAGAATACACAGAAAGGGCTTAGCATAGGGCCTAGCACATGGTAGAGGGGAGAGATAACGGCTGTTACTGTTACGGTAAATCCCATACGCAGGTGCACCGCAATAGCATGGAGGTGTTAAACTGTGACTGACAGTGGCTCCTGTCCTCTGAATGGGACTGCCCCATCCACTACATTGATTTCACAAGTCACAGAACCACATTTTACACAACTGAACTGTTGGCCCCACTCAGCGTGACAGTAAAGTTTTATGTTGGTATCATTATTTCATATTATGACTAGTTCTACCTGTGTACTATCCACATTGTTACAGTTACCTGCTTTCCTCTTCCAGCACACCTGTACGCTCCTTGTTGGCAAAACTGCTTGAGTCATCACTGTCTCTAGAATGGCTAGACTGAGGCCTAGAATATATCTAGTACTTAATATTATACTTACTTGCTGGATGAAAGAGCAAAAGAATAAATACTATGAGACTGGATCTTTCCAGCAATCAAGTGTCTCTGTGCACAGAGGTTGAACATGTTGTATTTATTTGAGTGTGGGGATGCACTTTCGCTCTGAAAGTCAGACAGGGTTACTGACTCATACCTCTGTACACTCCTCAGTCTACATACATGTATGGATAAGGGGGAAGGAAGGAGGCATGGATGTATTCATTCAATTTTTTTCCCCATCTAGATGGCATGGGAATGATTTGAAATATGCTCACTAGGATGAAACCTGCCTCAGTTGGCTGCCTGAGGGCAAATGGGAACCAGTATCTGTAACAGAAATAGAAGGACTGCTCCCCCTAAGGAAGTAAGCTCTTGGGCTATCACTCACAGGGCCTGCAGATATAAGCAACATCACAGACAGGCAGGCATGGGGTATAAGAAGGGTAGTGTCCCTAGCTCGGGAGATCTAAGAGATCTAGGCGCAGCGTATATGACAACAGGAGGAAATCTCAGGGATCCCAGATGGTCAATGTGTTTCATTTTGGCTCTTTCTTTCCTTCTTTATACAATCATCTAAATGCCTTTTATAAACCAGCACTGTGAATGCACCTGTGGATAGAACAAGCAAAGGCCCTTGGCCCTCATGTAGCTGCATGAGAGTCTGCTGCCTCAAGCCCTGGGTTTTTCAGACAGCCTTTTTTAAAGACAGGGTCTCCCTCTGTCACTCAGGCTGGAGTGCAGGTGTCCTCAGCTCACCACAACCTCAGCCTCCTGGACTCAAGTGATCTTCCCATTTCAGCTTCCTGAAAATCTAGAACTACAGGTGAATGATACCAGGTACAGCCAATTTTTTGGGCATTTTTTGTAGAAATGGGGTTTTGCATGTTGCCCAGGCTGGTCTGGAACTCCTCGGCTCAAGCAATTTGCCCGCCTTGGCCTCTCCCAAAGTACTAAGATTATAGGTGTGAGCTACTGCACCGCACCCGCCTCAGACAGGTTTTGTGACACATCCAAGCTCAGTAAGAAGAGACATAGTTAGTGGGGGGCAGGGTGGCACAGTCATTCATGAGGATAAGATGAGTCAGAGGGAGCAATATTTGCCAGGCCTGCCCAGGTTCCTAGGTGAGCCCCACAGGTAAACTGATAAGCTGACATGATGGGGAAACAGGACTGTCATGACCCAGCTAAGTCTAGGAGAGGTGAATGACTGGAGGTCTGGGTACAGAAGGGGTACAGCGACAGCACGTGTGGAAGCTGCAGCTTTGCCTGTTTTTTCCCCCACAGCCGGAATTTGTTTTCAACTGCAGAAAGGACGGTACTGGTCCAGCTCACAAACCATTCAGTGAGTTGCAGATGCAAATGCACTATTCAGTATCATATATGAAATAGGGAAGACTAGGGGAGGTGGACATGAAGAGGTTAAAACCAGGAAGATGAAGAAACAAGCCACTTTAAAAGAGATGGAGATTTAAACCAAAAATAAAAACATGCCACCCTAGTGAGTCCTGATTTGCTGGCTTAAACTGTACTCCTGGGGTTTGCTGGACTGAATGACTCGGCTGTGGTCCTGTGATAAGTAATTCATTCATTCAAATTTATACCCCAATTAGAAAAGTCTGCTAGATTCCAACAACTTCCTGGCTCTTTTAGCCCCATAAATAGTGTTATATTCAATTCCTTCCATCTTCACAGGTCCCCTGAAGCAAGAGGCTACTAATGACACTTGCACCCCTAATGGCACGCCTGGACAAAATTCTGCTGAGCAGAGGGTTTCCTAAGTTTGATGCAGAGATTCACAGATGGCTTGTAAAGAAAAACAATGAGTCAGAAGCTGATCAAGCATCAATCATCTCTGTCTCTAACCCTCTTGAGGAGATCAGCCTTGCTTCTCGCACCAGTAAGAAGTCCAAGAAGTGTGTGAATCCCATTCATGCTGCAGACATTTGCTTCTTAGCAGCTCCAGTTCCCCATTTCCAACGTGGATTGGAATAAATCACTTTTAAATTGCTCAGAGACACAGAGAAAGGAGTCAGAGACAGAAAGGGTTATAGATGCAAAGCCTGACTGGTCTTTCATGTCATTATTTCAAAGCCGAAGGTTCACACATTTTGGAGCCTGTGGCCATGTGCCGGGTGTGAGGGGAGCCTCAGCGATATGCTGCCCCATCCTTGTCATATTTGCCAAATATCTGAGCCATGATTCCACTCAGAATATTTTAATATACTCTACTCAAGGAAAAGGCAATAGGTAATGGGATCAGTGACATCCTCTACACTGGGTCCCAGTTTTTCAAGGATGAACATATACCCCTCATGCTCTTTAACTGAGGCTGCAATCCTTGCTCATTAAGCAAACTTGGACATCTTGGCCTTCCCTGCCTCTTTTCTTGTCCTCCCCTGGACATCAGTGATCTCCATTTTGGCCTATTTCCTACTCCCTGACAGGGTAATGGATGGTAGGTAAGTAAGGGTTCTTCTAAAATTCGCAAAGCTGAGAGAGACATTCATGAGGTTGGGTTAATAAAAGTGTGCGAGACAGTAATGACATGCTGCTGAGAACCAGCTCTGCCAAATGTTTTTTAAAGGAGCTTGAGCTCTTTCCACAATCTGATGTAAAAAAAAGTAAAATGAGGCAAATGGCAAAAATAGCACTGCCGTTAAAGGGCCCAGGCATTCTGATGATTCTAAAATGTCAGCCTAAGACAGAAGGTGATGGAAAGCAAAGAGTGAAAACTAGAGAACACACTTCACTCCTGGATAATCAAAAACAGTCATCAGACTACAGATGACCTTGGAAGGAAATAAAATCTTAAAAGAAACCAGGTCTTTGTCCAATAAGCTAAAGAATTTGTCAAATTATTTTATTCATGGCATCATACAAATGCCTTGGACATAGAAAGGATCAAATACATTTACAGGTGGAGAAACTGAGGCAAAGAGCAAATATACATTCTTTTGGCTAGTGGGTGTCCACTAAGCGTTCTTAAGTTTGAGTGTTTATGAGGACAGTACATCAAGGGGCTAGCAGAGCCTTAATTTGCAATTAAAAAAATCATGAGTTAGGGCCACCTCCAAGACGACCCTGGCTTACTGTGGGCAAGTCAAAGTCTCTAGCCTATTTCCTCATGTTCAAAACAAAGTTAACAATAATACCTGCTCTATCTACCTCTTAAGGCTGTTGTAAGAATCAAAGAGGCTAGCATATATGAATACACTTTTTATAAATGCAGTATCACATGATGATTGGGCAATCGAGATTATGCCATAGAAGTCCACCTGCTCAACCTCTCTCCCCTACCTTGAACATGAAAACAAAGCGAGCCAGAGACGAGAGCTGAGAAATCCACTACTGACAATAAGCTTCCTTGTGCTTAGGACATACCACGAGAGAGATCCATGTGCCTTCTTCACACTTGCAACCCTTGTACAATGCCTAGCACATGGCAGCTACTCAATAAATATTTGTGAAATTCATGAACGAAAACTTATTAATAAACCTGAGGGAGTTTATCTAATACACTGAAGCGCCAGTCAACCCTTCAAGGCCAAACTTTGGTTTCTTCACAAGTTCCTGAACTTCATTTGGTACTTCCATGGCAGAATTACAGAAAGAACACAGACCACTGGGTGGACTTCCCTACAGTGTCAAAGCAACAGGTCATCATGCTACTGCTGAGCAAAACGATCCTCAGGGGCTTGCCTGGCTACTTCCACCACACGGTCTGAACTCTGCCTCCATCTGTGCCAATCAGACCCTCACATCCCCTCATCCAATTTTACCTCCACTATTTTTCAACACTTAGACTAGCTGGGTTGGCTTCTAGCTCCTTCCTGAATATGCCATCTGTGCCTCCACCACCTGACTCGAACTCCTGTCTGGCCCACATGCCAGGTGTGTCTACACTCCATCAATCTTTCGTCTCTTGCATCTCTCCTGATGCTCGCTCTGCTTCCCGAGCCCACAGGGACTTTGCCCTCATCTGAACTTCTTCACTGTCCAATGCGTACTTGGTGAACAAGGAGGTATGAGGAAAAGCTGGTTGGGAAACCCACTCCTCGAATAGTGATGACTGGGTTGGGGGAGAGTTCAGCACCCCTGCCTTACTATGAAAGCTGCTGCTGTATTAGAAGGTCTGTCCTTCCAGGCAGGGCCTTACCTTTTCCATTTGCAGCCTTATCCCTAGCCCCTTGCTTGACACTTAACACTGAGTAAATACGATTTTTGAATAAATCAATGGACAAACGTAGCAATCTCATTCCACAATTCACTAACTTTTCAGCTGCCACTGGTCTAGCAAACTGCTGCCCCAAAATAGCCAAAAGAGTTTATTGCAGCATTGGAAAAACGAGCATGAAATATTCTGATCACATTTTCACAGCCAATGGCATTAACCTGAACACCACATTCCTGGTGAATTTTTACCTTGGTTTCTCGAAGAAGAAACTGCAGGTCTCGTCCACTGAGGATACCATGGTTTTTCACGTAACTGGGAATATTCTTTGTGCTGGAGCCATAAACAGTTGCATGCACTTCCATGTATGTGTGAATAATGTCCAAGTAGATCTTCTTATTCTGAAGAGGAGAACAAGCAGAAGACATTTCTCTTTGTCTTTCATTTGCATAACAACCTATGTCATGGACCAGAACTTCTAAGACTAGAGGTCACAGAATTCTTAACATGCAGATCACAGGAATTTGGCAATCAAACTGCTAAAATTTCTTTTAAAAGTAATCTGAATTGACAAATGGGATCTAATTAAACTAAAGAGCTTCTGCACAGCAAAAGAAGTTACCATCAGAGTGAACAGGCAACCTACAGAATGGGAGAAAAGTTTCACAATCTACTCATCTGACAAAGGGCTAATATCCAGAACCTCTAAAGAACTCAATCAAATGTACAAGAAGAAAACAACCCCATCAAAAGTGGGCAAAGGATATGAACAGACACTTCTCAAAAGAAGACATTCATACAGCCAACAGACACATGAAAAAATGTTCATCATCACTGGCCATCAGAGAAACGCAAATCAAAACCACAATGAGATACCATCTCACACCAGTTAGAATGGCAATCATTAAAAAATTAGGAAACAACAGGTGCTGGAGAGGATGTGGAGAAATAGGAACACTTTTACACTGTTGGTGGGATTGTAAACTAGTTCAACCATTGTGGAAAACAGTGTGGCGATTCCTCAAGGATCTAGAACTAGAAATACCATTTGAGCCAGCCATCCCATTACCGGGGATATACCCAAAGGATTTTAAGTCATGCTGCTATAAAGACACATGCACACGTATGTTTATTGCGGCACTATTCACAATAGCAAAGACTTGGAACCAACCCAAATGTCCATCAGTGACAGACTGGATTAAGAAAATGTGGCACATATACACCATGGAATGCTATGCAGCCATAAAAAAGGATAAGTTCATGTCCTTTGTAGGGACATGGATGCAGCTGGAAACCATCATTCTCAGCAAACTATCTCAAGAACAGAAAACCAAATACCGCATGTTCTCACTCATAGGTGGGAATTGAACAATGAGACCACTTGGACACAGGAAGAGGAACATCACACACTGGGTCCTATTGTGGGGAGGGGGTGGGGAGGGATAGCATTAGGAGATATGCCTAATGTAAATGACGAGTTAATGGGTGCAGCACACCAACATGGCACATGTATACATATGTAACAAACCTGCACGTTGTGCACATGTACCCTAGAACTTAAAGTATTAAAAAAAAAATAAGGTAATCTGGTTGGACTTTGAGGACATAAACAGTCATATGGCCATTACATAATTATGTAAGAAGAAATACATTATATGTCAACATATTACTGAATACCAACTGTATAATTTTGCAAGAAGAAATACATTATATAGCCAACTGTTTTGAAGTATCATCCTTGCTTTGTAAATTACCAGGGACCTAACAGTTGCTTTTGGCTCTTCCTACCTCTATGAGAGGAAGTTTGGGGAAGGACAGCCTGGGGAAGGCAGTCAGTTGGACTGGAATATTTACCCAGAGATGCTAAGCTGTCCCAGAGGAATACAAACATCCCCAGCTCTTGCCAATGTTTCTAGTGATGATTAACTCATGTTGTCAGAACTGGATCCCACCTAAATCGGGATCATGGGAAGATGAGAGTTTCTCACAGCTGGAAAGATAATGAGAATACTCAGGTAGATAAAAGTAGAAAAAGAGAATAAATGTCAATTTTGATGAGCTCCAAAACATTCAAGAGTAGTTTTACTTACAGTATTAGAAGCAAAACCAAACCCCTTTTCTTGTATTTGTAGGCACTGAATTTTGAGGCACATTTTCTAAAGCAAAACTACTTGTGAAGTGGAAGCAAGTTCACTTTTTCTATCTCTGGGTTTCCCTGTAACTAAACTGTACAAGCTGGGGTTTGTGGGTTTTTCTTTTCCTTTTTTTGGGAAATTTTCAAAAAGTCAAGTTCTGTAATGTTTTCCAGTTGTATAAAAGTAGGACAAGGTTTCCTCATTCTAAGCCTGTTTTCAGACACTCCAGGCAAATCTAATAGCTGGTTTTGTGACTTAAGACCACAAGGGACACGGGGTGTGGTATCAGCAGCCAGAGGGCAGGGAAGCCAGAAGGCAGTCTGTAAATGAAGCAATTCATGATCTGGTCTCTGCCATTCACTGCCCTGGTGATATTACCAAAGACCCTCAACTTCAGGGGAAACATTTCAAGTGATGTATCAAAAGTCTTCACGACTGGGAAAACTGCACAGCCCACATTCTTCATTTCATGCACCAGGATGACTTTGTTTGCAACGAGCAAGACCATCCTTGCCACCCTAATGTATGAATAAAATGAACAGTGGGACTGAAAGTTTAATTCCATGCCATGTCTGGTATGGCCACAAGATGCTGAACTCATTACCTTAGAAATGTATACTTTTAAATTAGTACAGACGCTTACACCTACCTGGCATATGTTAGTTTGAAGGGTTCTAGGATATGGTTCATTGTGCTAGATGTATCTGGTAACTCCTGCCCCCACCCACAGCTCCTGTTAAGTAGGCAGGGGTATCTGTTACCCTGCCCCCACTGCTGGCTGCTAACCGGCCCAGGGTGTGTCTGACCTGAGGGGACCCAATCCTAGGCTGGCCAGCAGCCCGGGAATGATGTAGCAGGCTCAGGAAGGCAAGGGGAGCCAACCAGATGCTCTCTTGGGAACTCAGAATCCTTTATACTGGGAGATTACTGCCAGATGGCCACTGGCTTTAGAGCAAAAAGGTCATTTGAGCGTTGAAGTCTGGGCAATTACAAGCCAGATATCAAGTTCTGAGGAAACTGGTTGCCAGTTTTGGCGGGTTGGGTGGGAAAAGAACCAAGTAAGGGCTAAAGGAGAGGGGAAGACACAGGCAGTCAGTAATAAGAGGGACCCAAGAATGTGACTACAACCAAAACATCACCACTGCAAGCATGACACAGAGAGAGAGAGAAAGAAAAGAGGAGTAGAATGAGAATAAGTACTTCCAGGGAGAGTGGGAAAAGAAAGCAGAGAGACAGAGGAGAAAAACTAGGGCCTAGAGCTGCTCTGGTTCCGATCCCACCCACAGTGGTTCCCTATCCTAAATTCCCAGGTCCCTCTGGATCCTTATAATAAACGCAGCTCTTCCCAGACCCCACCCCATATTTTTACTTGAGTTTCTCTGGGTGGATTTCACTCATCTACAAGGAGACCTCTCGGGACAGCTTGCTGGCCTTAAAGCAGGAATTGGGGGCTGCAGGTGGGGACAGGCATCTCTCCTTTACACAAAAGGAGGCATTTTGCCTAAAAAGTCAGTTGCCAACTACTGAAGATGGGCCAAAGACCACTAGGCTATGTCTGTGGTGACCTACCGGGCAGACCAGTAAATAGTCCATTTGGTTCCTGTCCTAGAGAAAAATATCCACTGTAGACACACTCAAGATTAGGGTTCCCAGACTAAATGCCTGGGAAAGTAACAAGGTACTAGATTACATATGTATTGACATTAAATCCCAGAAAAGGCTGGGGCTTCTTGAAGTACAACAAGGGGGCAAGTTCAGGCAAATATAAAGAGGTATATGTAAAGACTAATAAAGTATATGAACTTACTTTTAGGCATGGTAAAATCCAAAACTAGAGATTACCTTCAGAAAGGATTTACTAATTTCACAAATGTGAAAATCTCAACAGCTGATTAGAGGGGAAAAAATGTTTCAAGTATAACTTTAGCCTTTGACATTGATGTAACAATTAGGTACTTCCACCTCAGGTCTCTTGTTACCACTTGTAAGAGTTCTGAGTAGAATCCTGGTGAAGATGAACCACGCTATCTATTCCAGGTAAAGGTGCCCCAGAAGGCTTTCATACCAAACTCACAGCCAAGTACCTACACCAGATTTGCACCTGTGGTTCTGTCCCCTTCAGGCTCCATGGACACACATGTTGAATTAGTCACACAGTTCTGTATATTCTGCCTCCATAATATCAAATTGGTCTCCTCTTCTCCAGGGTTGAAGGTTCAGTTATTGCCATCAAGGGGCTCAAAGGATCCCCTTCTGTCTTCACAGACACTCTTACCTTTTGTGTTTAAGATACAGGATATTCAGGATTTTAAAAATTAAAGGTGTCCTTGTCTGCCTTTCCGCTATGCATGGGAAGGCTCAAAGTGGGGAGGGGGTTAGAGGTAAGAGACATTTTCCAGCATACACTCCCCCTTCCCTTCCTTACTTTGGTCATCCAGGCCCAGGGTGAAGGTGACCATAGGTGACCACCACAGACCTGGATGTCCCACTGATCTAAGAACTGGATCAAGATCACTTCTTAGAAAGCTTTCCTTCTCCAATTTTTTTTTTTTTTTTTTTTTGAGACGGAGTCTTGCTCTGTCGCCCAGGCCGGAGTGCAGTGGCCGGATCTTGGCTCACTGCAAGCTCCGCCTCCCGGGTTTACGCCATTCTCCTGCCTCAGCCTCCCAAGTAGCTGAGACTACAGGTGCCCGCCACCTCGCCCGGCTAGTTTTTTTGTATTTTTTAGTAGAGACAGGGTTTCACCGGGTTAGCCAGGATGGTCTCGATCTCCTGACCTCATGATCTGCCCGTCTCGGCCTCCCAAAGTGCTGGGATTACAGGCTTGAGCCACCGCGCCCGGCCGGCTCCTTCTCCAATTTAAGAGACTAAGGTCAAAGAAAATATCTGCTCCAAAAACTTTATCACCAACAGATCTCTGGAGATGCAGTCAAAAAGGGCTTACACTGAGTATCACATCACAGCATGCAACCACCTCTGTCGCCCAAAGGTTCCAGCTAAGCAACCAGCAGCCCCCCTAATGCTTTTATTCTCTAGTTCAATTTAAATTCCCATTAAGAACAACTGATCTAACTGATTAAAATTTAAATCTACCTAAGCTCATTTCGGGGGAGGAGATACAAATGGAAAGGAGAACGCATGCTGGAGTCAATGAGCAGTGTTGTCAGTGTCTCTTCAGCTGTTTATGGTCGTAGCTGGAGGCAGGTACATGTTCAGAACCAGTCATAAGATATTTAAAGCTTGGAGAGAAAGCTTTAGAAAAACAA